ATATAAAGGCAGTTTTGTTATAATTTCGAATAATTTATATATACCGGAAATAATAATTTTTATTCTGTGCAGTGTGTATTATATATAAGTACAATGTAGTACTTTTGCAGTGCACAAGTTTTTCGTGCCAACTTAACTATAGTTGAAACAATTTATGTACATGTATGCATTCCGTATCAGGTTGCACCAACTTGCTAGATATAGCAACATTTTAAAACAAAAGTGAAATGAGAAGTTAATAGAAAATAACACAGCGCTAATAATCTTTACAAGAAAAAAAGAAATTCTTAATCGATTGATAATTATACAAAACAATTTGGGACCGAACCTGGCTGTCTTGCATTGATATGTAACTAAAAATTTACCACACAACTTTACCTACTGTGTTACGCCGCCAGTTGGTAAATTTGTCGATATTTTAATTTATATGGCAAGCCTGCTTGACTTAAGATAATAAACACAACATGATAACTGTTTTACACCGTTAAAGTGGACTTGACCACCGTGCCACTTAAATAATTATCCGAAACGCACAGTAGATTCAAATATATCAATACAGGTGATTAGCTACGGTATACGCACATTTATACAGATAAGTAATTTATTTCGACATGCATTTTCATCACGAACACTATTAAATAACGATATAAAATCAAACATGTGTTATGCTTTCATCTAGAAGATGCGTATGCTTTTTCGATTTTCCTCACATTCAAACAACAGTTCAAACAGTACCGGTATTAGGTTTCATATGCTGTTACACTTACAGAGAGTGAAATCCGGGAGTTTTCAACAACCCCCACCCCCTCATTGTATGGGAAACATGATTTTGTTGTCAAAAGAAGATCATAGGCATGATGCTATCGACTTTGTACTACGTACAGCGACAGATGCTTGTGTGTTTCCGAAGAAAACGTTGATAAAGTGGTAACAACGTACAGACTGTGACCTATGCATATTACTATGGAATACCGTTAGGGCCATCGTAGTTATACTTTATAATCCAGAGGGCAACAATAAGACAGTGCGATAGAACAACGACGACAATACAACAGTGCGATGACGACAATGCGATAGTGCGATGGCGACAATGCGATGGCGACAGTGCGACAATGCGATAGTGTGATGCCGATAATGCGATGCCGACAGTGCGATAATGCAATGGCGACAATACGATAGTGCGATGGTACTAGAAATTTACATCTATACATAATTTTATCTATATAATTATCTAAAATAAGAGGTCAGCAATTTTCGGTAGTTTAACTGGTCAGCAGTTTTTCGCATGACGAACATGAATCAATCTTGAAGAGCACATCTATCTTGCTACATATCCATTTAATCGAATATCCAACTACCAATACCTACCAATTTTACGCTCCTTGTACTATACACCGTTAATTTTCATCAATATATAAGATGGGGCATTTTTTTGATACTTAGTAAACCGAGCGCCCGAACTATTTCTAAAAGACAGTAAATAAATATGATGAGATCAAACATTGCTATACTAGATTCTGTGTCCACATATTTTATATATATATATATATATATATATATATATATATATATATATATATATATATATATATATATATATATATATATATATATATATATATATATATATATATATGCAATGTAGTTCCCAAAACAGCTTAAAACTTGCGATGTAAAAGAAAGAAATATTTTGTTACAAGTATCAAACAAATTACAACGCATTCAAAGTTTAAAAGTAGCGTTGGCTTATAGAATTGTCAATACATGTACGCGGATGAATATGATTTTAATCAATTAAAATGCTATTTTTAGCGATGTCAGGATATACAGGAAAAATACATACAGATATACAGTACGATTGCGATAGCAACGATCAGAAAATACCACAGAGCTTGCAGCCCTTTGATTATTACTTGGGGACAATACTCCGCCTTTCAAGGAATGGCACTTCTGTGTCACATTGAAGGTTCCATGATACCTGCGGTTTGAATACATCTGCGGATGTTTCTAAATTCAAATTTTCACCCTTTCATGTTAAAATGCTGAATTCTGCTTGAGACGGTGCCAGGGGGCGTAGACGGTAGTTTGCACTTGACATTACCGTCCATAAACAGGGTCAATCAAACCAAGTCTGCAACATTTTCAAGTTTGAAGTGTTTGGCCTTGAGGGATGACCATTTCCGTGCTTTCATAACGCGCCGATTAATACGTGCAAATTCATTTTTCTTTTTACATTTGAAGACAATTATTGATTGATCGAAAAAAATATCTGGAAACATAGTGATCCACCGGAAGCATTAATCACAACAAAATTACATGAAAATTGCAGACTCAGTTTGATTGAGTCTATACATGAGGATAATGAACAAGTGCAACATTCCTCACGCCTAGATATTATAGCACAGAAAACAATAAAATAAGATAATTAAAATCGGAAAATTGTACATTATATACTTTTAACAAGTAAATTATTAACTGTGAAACGGGTGCCCTTTTGATTAACTATACTCACAACTTTTCACAGTAAATTGGCAATAGTCGATGTCACGCGTTATACAAACATATGAACACCGGGTCAAGTAAAGGTCAATGGTTTAATTTACGGTCTTGATTGAAATTTGAAAGTACAAAAAATACAACATTTCTTCTGTTTTTCGAATGTTCGTATTCGTTTTTTCGATGTTCGATTTCGAATATTCAAATATATTTCCCGGCCCTATATTAATTCTTGAATCAATCGTTGCTTACATTTTCAATATGTATAACGAATCAACGAAATTACATGACGAGGGAACCACCGCAAACATACTTTCTTTCCTTGTTGGTTTGTTTATCATATTTACAGAAAAAAATTATACAAATTATCGACGGGAAATATGGGGACAGGGAACATATTCGAATGATGGACCCGATCAATTGTTTTAAATAACTCAGACATGGTGTTTTGAAGGTACTGGAAACTTCTGATATTTCTCTGTCATTGTAATTCTTTCTCGTTTGTGTGTAGGAAACGAGCAGTATTTTTTGTTTTTTTTTACCCGAAACTAAAGCATTTTGGTAGCTTTGTTATATTTGTGACTCTCCGAATGGAGGTGAAAAAGTTAAAAATCAAGCTTTGACAGTTGGCGCCAAAACAAGATAAATTTGGTGAAAAATCTAAACGCATGACAGACACTTGGTCATTTTTGAAAATGCCATAGCTTGCCACTGCGTGTAAAGTGATATTTTTTAAGGAATCGGGCGGATTCTAGAGTATGCTGCACCTTTCATGAAGATTGCCCATATTGGTATATTTTAGGTGTGATTTTGGCGATGGGTGGGGGTAAATATAAATTGCTGTCAGTCATTTTTTAAGGAACAATGCATTCAAACTATTATTTTTCTTCAATGTATGTCATAAATCATTGAATAATGCTATGCAATGGTTATCTGCCTGTGAAACAGATTTTTTGAAATATTTGGAATTGTGTTTCTAGCCACACTGAATTACAAAATTGTTCATTTTTAGGACCCCTGCCCCCTTCGTGTTTTGATTTAATGCAAATGATGAGTACTCTTTAAGGGGCGGTAACTTTTCCATTTTCGCTTCAACTAAAACATTTCCTTCTTAAATTGAGGTTAATATCCTAAACAAATGATAGTTTAGCGCAGGATTGATTCCGTATGATTTGATGATGGGCCACTTAATTCTTACACTCCTGCCAATCCTGGTAAATATAGTACCATCAGAATAAAATTGAAAATTAAAAACATTCCACAGACCATTTTTTAATGACACTAAAACATTTTATAAAAATTGACTATATTTTCCTTTGGATAGCAATTTAATAATTTAAAAAAAAAATCAAAGAAAAATGTTGGTTTTTTTATTGATAATATTTTGCCATGGCAACATTTTTTTTGTAATTGCCATGGACTTGCCATGGCAAATTTTTGCCATTGAATTGCCATGGCAAATTTTTGCCATGGAATTGCCATGGCAAATTTGCCATGGCAGAAATTTGCCATGGCATTTCTATGGCAAAAATTTGCCATGGCAAAATGAAAAAAATTAGAGATTGCAATAAAAACATAACAATAGCACCAGTAACATGTCATAGGATAAGTTTTAGAATGTTTTGAGATGTTTTAAAAAATTAATTGCCATGGCAAATTTGCCATGGCAAAAGTAGGAGAAATCTTGCCATGGCAATTCAAATTTGCCATGGCAAATTATTTGCCATGGCAAAATGCCGAAATGCCATGGCAAAACACACTTTGCCATGGCAAATGCAAACTTTCAATGCATTTTTACAAAAAAGTATTAAAGATATAGAAAAACAAAACATATTAACTTTTAAACCATTTAGTAAATATGACAATTTAAAATAGTTTTCATTTTTTTAAAGCGCGTAAAATAGGGGTTGAATTTGCCAAAAAAACTGGCGCGGCAAAAAAAAACCGGCAGCTATTAATAAAAGAAAATAAAACAAAAAAAGTTGCCACTTCATTTTTGTTTACAGTATCTTTTCTAAATCACTGACAAAAATGTAATTGGCCACATAACATATTTTGCAATTTTGTTTACAATGAATGAGCTTGACATAGAAATCTAGATCTACATCAAGTAGATTTATACTGTATAAGATATTTTTAAAAAAGGAAAATATATGACAAGGCTTCAGTACAGTACTGTAATTATTGACAAATGAATTTCTATTACAATTCAAGATCAATTTAGTAAAGGAAATGTTATTTCCTGTACTGCATGCTGCTTTTGAAATACAAATAATAGATCTAGTAATGTGATTGAAGATGTGACCATAGATAAATATTAAAATGCATTTATTTTATTAGCCCTTTGCCTTTGGTAGTATCTACAATAAATCATATTATATTCACATTACTCATACCACATGGCATATTCTACCAGCAGGGTTTCCATTAAATTCCAAACATTGGCAGTCAAAGACTGCAAAATGTATGTAATTGGAAGTCACTTTGTAGTAAAGAAGGAAAAGCATTACATTTTTGAAGTCAAAATCAAGGTGTAAATGACTCCAAAACTTTAATAACAGAAGCCCTGCTACCAGGATATTTTTAACATTCATGAGCCAGCACTTTTTGCTGATGAAATATTTTGTGTTGTTGTTTTAGGTCTGACAGCCAACATACATTTAAGATCTTCAACTTAGTTCATCAGAGTTTTGAAGTAGATAATATGATTATCCAGCATGTTGGAGCCATATTCTTCAAGGAAATGTACTTGTAAAGTGTTTGATACTTGGGTTTAAAGATCAAATGATTTACTATGAATGTAATCTTTGATACATATGTAAATAATCATCATAAACTGACCATTCTCAACCCTTTTATCAAATAATGATATTGATTAATTTCCTGAAATGCAGTTGAAAGTAATGTAACTTATTTGCAAATTTAGCATTTATATATGATGTCAGATGAGATCTTAAAAATATTGTTTTAAAATTACATAACTCTGCACAGTAACATGAACTAAATTTTAAGTTATATATTTAAAAAATAATGCTGTATTGTTTTATGCAAATACTCTGTCAATAATGTTAAGCTCTTAAAAAATATATACATAATTTTCAGAACACATAGATAGTTCACCTATTTGCTGATGAATATACTAAACTATTGTTGAAATGAGACACAATGTGTGACAAAGTTCTATGCCCTATTGAGCACCAGGGTTATGGAGTAAAAAAGACAATCACTTGTATCAACTGTACTGTATTGGTCAAGATAAAAAAACACTTCAATTGGGTAAGCATGTATATTTATGCAATATTCCACATTCTCTTTACTTTTGAAATAAAGAGTGCGGTGTTCCAACCACAATACATGCACATATGTAGATTCAGATTACTTTAGTCATGTTCAAGATGAATGTTACTGCCACTTGTACATGATATATAGACTGTAATATATTACACAAAAAAACTTACATGATGAACAAGACATTATATGAACCCAATAGCTGTGCAAACACTATACAACAATTTACTTATAGTTCATTTCTGTTCAGTTAAATATCATATACACCATCTTGTAGTCAAATCATCATATACACTATATTGTTTCATTTATACTTATTCAGGTTTTTTGTTATTTCAGGATGGCATGTGAGAAGTCAATGATTTGTCTATGTTTGACAGTATACCAAAAGTGAATTACATTCTCATAGAATTTGTCTTTAGAAGTATCCCTAAAAAAGCTGAATACTACAGTGGGAGGTGTTACAATATTTTTACTTAATTGTGAAACAAGTTTTTATATATGAATCACTTTTTGCTTACAAAAACTGAAAAACATATGAGGAGACATTGTTGCTATTACCCTGTTTGGGTCAAACCCTCAACATGGGGTTTGCAAGACTATAATTCAAGGACATAAATGAACTCTCATTTGTGACTTCCCATGTGATTGCTAGAATCTTTTATTGTAATTGTTTTAAATTAATTGAAATTATTTCAATTTAAAAATATACTAATATGTTATTCATATTATACAATTTAAAATACACTAATCAGAATATGATTACACTGTCAATATCTGTAACTGAAAATTTAGTCAGGAACATAACTAGTGCAAGCCCTTTCTATTTTTTTTTTTTTTTTGGTTAAAATTCTGAAAGACTTGAAGTTATTGTGAAAAGGAATATTTTTTTATAAAATGCAATTATTTTAAATCACTCAGTTATTTTTGCATTTTTTTGTTACCATGGCAACCAAAATACACCATTTTTGCAATCAGTGCATTAAAGAATATTTGTTTTGCTTTGGATTCATATTTTTATATGCTATCATGTTATAGACGTGCATTTTAAAGTTGACTAACTTAAGTTATGATATTAACCTTAATCATGGAAAAGGTACTGTAATTCTGAGAATTTAATTCTTATGTTTAAAGTTAATATCAATAACTATTAAGGGGTAAAATGAAAAATCCTTTTTTTCTTAAAAGTCTTTAATATTGTTGTCTTTTAATATAATATATGCATTATTTTGGTGATGAATTAATCAGGTTAAGTGCAAAAATGTTGCATTTGATGATTTTTTTATATTTTTTGTTGCCATGGCAACCGATTTTTTGAAAACAAACGATTGTTTTTATATGAAGATATTACATAATATTACACTAAGATGAATGTTCACTTAATTTTTTATTTTATTTTATTGTGTATAACTATGAAATTATTTCTAATTTGTATATACCAATAAAAGTTAAAAAATGTAATTTTTGTTGTTATGGTGATGTCATACAAATTAGAATATTTTCATAAAATATCAAAGGTTTTTTAAAAATAATTGTTTCCAGCTATTCAGCAGATGTTGTTCTACCACAAACTAGTCATAACTCATTTTCGCCCAAATATCACATTTGGGCCAAAAATCGCTGAGCTTGTCACATTTAAGAAAAAAACAATTTTACGTGTGAAAATATAATTTGACACAAATGTTTTTTTTTATTAAATAGGGAAAGAAAAGAAAACCGTCAAGAACGTCCAAAACAACAACATGGAAAATGTTGCAAACTCGGTTTGATTGAGCCGGTGCATTTGCGGTACTGGTAAGTGCAAGTTACCTTCTACGCCACTAGAACCAGCTGAAGCAGAATTCAACATTTAAACAATGGTGAGATTTTGAAGACATCATGTGCTTCGAAAAAAACAACATGTAAGTAGTTAAGCTTTACATTTTCAATTTAAGTTACGTCCTAAATTAGAGTTATTCATTTTATATACATTTGGTTCAGTATCTTTGTAGAAACGCTTCGGTTGTTTGCAGGAATTCACAATATTATTGCCAACATATTGCCAAATTTTTTTGTTAGGAATGTAAAATCAAAGTGAAACAATTATTCAGTAGAAATTGTAAACATCCATTATCCCCGTGTAAATAACATTGAAAATTGAGATGAAATGAAATACAGAAATAAGTTTGGGCGTTTATTTAAGGTCTTTAGTTTATCATTCGTTCCGTATAACTTTAATGTATTTCACATATTTGTATAGAATATAATTATTTGAAATTAGGAAAAAAAATGTAAACTCGCTTATAATAATTTCGTTACAAAAATATATTTCGACATATGTTACGAAAACCATTGTTTTCCGTGATGCTACTTCTGTTAAATATGCCCTCTGAAAGCATTGCAAACACTTGTCTAGTTTTATGTGAAAGTACATGATTATTAACCAATAATTTTTCTAATTTGATGGTAGCATTGTTCTGACATTCTTTCCTATAAAAGTCGGGGTAATTGCACTTGTTAGTTGTTCACAGAAACGAGTAGGTCTTTTATTTGGCCCTTCTCTTTTCATCGTTTTTGTGTGTGTATCGAACATGAAAAACATTATGAACACTACGAAGTGTTTATTAGAAAAAGCAGTATGGGGAATTTCAATAGATTTGTACATTATATTTAAAATGGAAACAGACAAAATAATTCTGACTTTTCCTAAGAGTTGCCTTTTCATTTATAGAAAAAAAAATTATTTTTAAATGCCGTATGCACGAGAATGCACCAGTAAACATTAGCAGCCGACATCAAAGTAAGTCCTACTGGGGTCCTTGCCGGTGGTCCTACGTTGGGGATGCGTTCATTGAATGCTAGCCTGCTTCCATGTTGAATCTTGTTTTTTGTTGGTTTTTGGGTTTTTTTTTGTAAAGTTATAACCGTTTTAAACTTTCCACCTATATGTTTGGGACTCCCAAAAAGAATGGTTTACTTTATTTACTTATATATGAAGATATAAGAAATGTATAAAACGAATATAAACAGCCAACAATCTTTTCAAATAACTTAATATCTAAAAAACTTCAATCAGTACAGCATTTATTTTAAAGATAATTTTAAAGCACATTTTAAAAAAGAGATTAATTAAATTCTATTCATCGCGTTCGGCGCCAAATGAGTGCCAAATCTCTGTGATGTCTTGGTCCATTCATTCGTGCAAATAAAGACCAGAATCTGATGATAAATAGTACGCTAAAAATAAGTAAAAATTAAAAAAAGAAATTAAAGAAAAAAGCCTAGTAAGCTTAAAACATATTTGCATTAGTGACTTACAGTTATATACTTACATTTTGTATTTACAGTTCAATTTGAAATTCAAAATGGATGTATGTAAATCAACCACATTTTTTATGTAAAAAACCTCACTGATTTATGTAAAACCTCACCAAAACATTTTCTTCCTGAAGCATTGAATAACTTAAATTGCCCTTACTTTCTCAAAACTAATTTTATGAACCCAGGATACAAAAATTCAATTATCTTTGTACACCATGGAACTGAACAATTACAGTACAGATATGCGCAACTTTATGTAAACCAAAACGTTGCATTGATGGATTCAAGCTGAACTCCTTATTTCAAAATATTAATAACAATACAAGATTATTGGCCTTTATGTAAACAAACGTCTGCATTGCTGAAAAACTGAACTCTTATTTAAAATTTACTACAGTACAGATATTGCGCACTTTAAATGTTATCAAAAACGTTACATTGATGAATCAAACTGAACTCTTTTTTCAAAATATTACTACCAGTACAGATATGCGCAGTTTTTGTTAACAAATTTGCATTGTTCCCAAACTACGCTACAATGTCGTTGTTTTATAATTAATAAGAAAATTAGCTATTTTGATGAAATTTTTTTGTATTGTTTAATCCAAAACCAGTTTATGAATAATTGCTAATAATTAAAAGTCGTTAACGGGAGCCTTCAAAACTTGTGGTTTTTGGGCAATCAATAAAATATTACAGGAATCATATTCTTTGTATTGACCACCTGTTCATAAATGCTTTTCAACTATAACCAAAGAATATTAAATTGTACCCTCAATAATATTAAAATAGTTTTGTTTTTAAACTGTTACATACGTTGCATTTTACATTTAATATTCAGGAAACAATTAGAGTCCTTGAAAGACAATACTGGATGATGGATTCGTCCTGTGTCGTTTTCATATATCTCGGTATTTTTTTTCTTTATTGACAGATACCTCATCAAGCAGGTGTCCATGTCTTTTGGCAATGCGCAAACTTGTATCTGCAACCTATGACCTTCGCCTATGACCTTCGTTGTTGTTTTGAGATTAATATATGCACTTTCTATAAATCAATTATGCTAAACCATTCAAGGTATAACAAATTGTAATCACAATTCCCTGTTTAGCCTTGGTGTAAAGTGGTTCAAATCCCGATGCAAGGGGTGGAGTTGAAATAGTTAAACTGAAATAAAAAAGCCTAAAATGAACAAAAAATTTTCATCTGGTAATGTTTTCAGGTTCATATGAAACACACAGTCCAACTGGTGGTTTTAATTCCGCCCCGTTACTTTCTTTGCCGGGCTAATATGGCAGTATTTATGGTTTCAATGAGATGTAATTTTGACTTATTCCCCCGAAAATAGGAGGTTAACACAATTGCATTTTACGATTTAAAATTTATTGCCATCTCCCTTGATTTACCAGGTGACCAATGAGTATAAAAAATGGTATCAAATCATTCAAGCAAAAATTATAGTCATGGCGAAATCCTTTAGTGAGTCGTTTATTTTGAATGGCTTCTTTACTCTGTCTGAATGGTTTACTAAATTGAAAGATGCCTACAGACTAAATAAAACAGTAATCAAGGGACTGGGCAGTCAATCTGTTATACAGCGAGTATATGTGTAGTGGAGTTGTTATTTAAATGCGAGTTCATACGAATATTATCAAAAAAAATAAAATAAATAAAATCCTGATAAAAAATTATTGTTTAGGATTTTCGTAGTTTTATTTTTGGCCGCAAATTGTACTACGTGAAAACCCTATAAAAAAGTAAATGCATATACCGTTTGACTCCGTTTTCACTGCAATTTTCAAATGTGTTGTTGGAATGATCGTTACCGATGTCACCATTCTCTCGTTCATTTGAAGCATGGCTGAGCAAAGTTGTAACAGTTTCAGTAGCCTTAATATAAGACGTCTGTAATGGTTTAAAATAACGTATCAATATACATAAAAAATTATTGGCTTTTTGTAGCATTAAATGATATTGTTGCTGTTTTTTTTTTCAAGTAAAGAAACAATGTAAGAATGTAACATTGATGTTTTAAAAGATACATAATTATGACAAAGTATGCCGTAACGTGAGACATTAAACATCATACAAATCATGGATAGACAAATAAGCTCGTATTAACAAGACAGTAAAAAGACGAAGTTCCCAATGCCAACTCAAAAAAAATTCTATCGCTGTAACAATGTTCAGCAAAATGAACTGAT